TAAGTTTTATTGCGCAAAATTCGCTGGCAAGCCAATTCAATCCGGTGAACCAAAATATTGGGGTGTCCACATACTTTTGTTACGCACTGTACATAGGCCCACAGCATGATTCAGCGAAAGCCTAGAGGCCAGAAAAATCGGGAATGGGCAAGGTCCAATATGAGTTAGGCTTCAAGAACGGTCCAGAACGCTGAAAAAAATAGAGGATATAAGGTTGATCAACATAGTGCACGGGATCTGCAGTGAGAGAGGTGGGATGGAGCTGTATCGAACCCCACAATTCGGCTTAAAAACTTTCCAGAATCAGAAAGAAAAGTGCATAGAGGCTGTTGAAGGACAAATGGTCAAATCTCCAAAGTGGACAGGGTTACAGTGAGAGGAGCGGGGCTGATTTCAAGACTAAAAATTCACAACTCTGTTCAAAGACGTTCGTAACGTTCCGGAGTCCTTTTGTATAAGAAGTACCTATGAAATCATCATCACTACTTACAAGATGTAGAGTATCCGCTCCGCTTCCTCCTGAGTATAGCTCTTTGGTATTGTCTGAAGAAATACCTGAAGAGGCCGGTTGAGTCCGAAATATTTGGGGCTCTGGGCAAAATTTCCTATAGACAGATCCTTGAGGGTTAATCTCGAAACCGATAATTCATCACCTATATGCGTTTTCTGTTAAGGCGCGCCCCTTAGTGTGCGGAGCCTACTGGTATCTAAATATCTATTCCAGATACTTGGAGCGTTATATCGTTCTGCCACTTCGATCCATTGTTCGTCTGAACCTTTTACGATCAAGTTTCAGTTAGCTGACGAAATAAGTTTAAGGGGCGCTTGGGCTCCAAGTGACTTCACCTCGTTTTGCATTATTCCCATTCCTACAGCAAACTCGTCATACCTTTCTTCTCGCTATCGTCCATCTTGTATCAACCCTTTTCTGTTTTCTGCTCGTAATTTAAGATTATTCATGCGCTGAAGCTGAACGCTAAAGTTTCTAAAATGAGACAACTTAAGCGCTTTTACTGAATGCGCCCCGCCTCACACGAAAAGTACTCATGCCAGCCTTAGGTCTGCTTTTTACCTTCACTTCTGGTGGTCAAGCTATGATTCCAGGAGGCACCATACACATTATATCGACGCTCTGGGCGTAAAAGTTCCCATAGAGTGGGACACGTCATCGGGAAGAGAATTGGCTAACGCTTTTGTTCTGTCAGATAACGTACGTTTTACTTTGCAAGACAGTCGCTCTTTAAACATTTTTTCTTCTTCATTTCTACAACTATAAGCTTATTCAGGCTCTAAGATTTATATTTTTACGGGATTTACATGCTCATGATGGTTATGCCTCTTTGGCTCAGCGGAGCATATCGTGGGCAACTTGGACGTCTTTTACGAGTATATTTACGTATTGGCTGCACAACGTGAGACTTTTCCTCTCTACTTTCTTTCACAAACCGACCTAACCTCATTTTTGAAGAAAGCTAAGATTTGTGGAGGAACTGCTACCTCTTTTGCGGTTATATATGTGCTTTTTGTTTCCGCAGCTTGGTTTGCTAACAAGCATTGGTATTACTTGTACAGGTGAGATATTGTGATTACATGAGCATTCTAAACTGTAACCGTCTAACTTGTTCCTTTATAGTGCTTGTTCAGGTATTTGACCGATATTCATGCCGACAGCGTCGCTGCCCGTTCATCGTTTTGCCATTGCGAAGGGGGCAAAGAGTTTTACTGGAAACAGCTAAAACGAAACAGGTCTTTTTTGGAGGAGAACAACATCAAAAGTAGCTCTATAAAAAGAATCTTTCCAGGTTATTACGTGATCTGTCCGCTGATTTAAGACCCAAGGTGACTCCTTCTGGAGATGTTCGTGGTATAGCTACTTCCATACTAGTTCGATATGATCATCTCAAGGTAATAAAATTGTGAGTAATGCTGATAAGCAAGTCTTTTTATGTAATTCACAGGATCTCAACGAGGAAGATGAAGAACTAAAGGATGTGATCAAAGGAGATGATTAAGTTGAACTGCAACGGATCCTCACCACCAAACCAATTGCTGCAATCTCGTGTGTAAAATGTTTTTAGTAATTTGTTTAGTTTATGCATTTGCTTGTTGCTCATCTATAAATAGTATTCTATTTGCGATTTTTTGAACGTAAGGGTCGTGTAAGCGGCAGATATATTGAAAGCGTTGCGTGTCTTTAATGTTTGGTTCAGGAGCTTAGAGTTTTTTCTTNTCTTTATGGTCTTCATGGTTAAAAGCGTGAAATGGAAGAGGATAATGTAAGCAGAACCGATCAGCCCCAGTGAGGCTCACAGCTTTGCTTTCCTTCTATTCCACTTTAAGGTGGGGCTGGTGTTGGGCTTGAATGAGAACCCTTTTCACTGCATGACCGATGAGGGAGTGACCAAGATGGAGGTCAACCTACCGAATAAGTTCGGTACCAATTTTTTGAGAAGAAAAGGAGTTTTTGGGTACTTGGATGGGTACACACCACCGGAATGCTGTGCCTTCTCTTTTTTTTATTGCCCTATATTTCCCAGAGGAAGGGCTAGATACGTCGTTTCTGCAATTTGTAGAGTTCTTAGCCAGTTCTTCTGATGAAGTTCTCAGAATTATTCGGTCATGTAATTGTGACCTTTACCTTAACTATACTATCCACTTCGTGATACCTACTTGCCAGCCAGCGGGTATGTGTGTTTGGAACGTCATGTGCAGTTGGAGGTATGTAGGTGAATGAGTGTGTGATATAAAACAAGGAGGTACATCGCTGACTGTTAGATGAAGCATTGCAATAATGTGAGACCTGATATAGTTATGAGATCTCTGAACCTTCAGGGCTGTAGCTTAGTTTTCATGTAATGTGGTTTTAGGAGATGGGTTCGACTATTCTCGGCCTGGGAGCATGTGCTTTATCATCACTGTTCTTTGGAACTGCATATGTTCCCATAAAGCGATTTGACGCCTCCAATGGTTAGTTCCTTGCCAGAGATTCTGGGACGAGAAACATTCCTTTATTGTGTTTTGAATAAAACTGATAGAATTTTTCATCGTCACTTATAGGAATTTTCGTCCAGTGGGTAATGTCTGCAGGAATCCTCTGCGTCGGGATGGTGGTTAATGCTTTCGAGGAGTTCCCCAAATTTCAACCATTTGCTATGGTCGGAGGAGCACTCTGGGCCTTAGGTATGATTAAGCTTCGCTTCAGTTAGTTTTCGGTGGCTAAGTTTTTGAACAAAAGAACACTGGTTGAATCCGCATTTAAGAAGGGTCCAGTGATTTGCAATAGTAAGTGGAACCTTTGAGTGGTCAGGATTAGACATGAGAGCAAATTCTTAATTGCTTTATCCCAAATTTCGTTTGTGATTGGTTACATGAAATTGTCTTTTAGCTAACATATAGGTGACCTAACTATTCAGCATCATTTCTTAGCTTATATGGAGTACATCTTTTCCAATTTCAAGGTAATTTTACTGCTGTGCCTATCATGAATGTTCTTGGTCTTGGAATGGGAATGCTTATATGGGGTACGACTAACTGCGTATGTGGATGGTCTGTAGGGAGGTAACGATTTGTCTTTGCGTAATTTTTAGTCGAGGAACGCAGAACATGCAACATGGCTGGCAAGGTGAATATATCAGCGCACACATTTCGACGGATTGGTGAAGTAATGCGCTGATAGAATGTAGAATGCTCTGAAGTAGTAATAAAGTGCTTAACTGTCTTAAAAACCGTTTGACGTCGAAATGTGCTGAGCTCATCGTCTGCAAAGAAGTGTTTATCTTGTCTAGTGTTGGTCTGCGCAGCACATTAGTTCAAGTGCAATTTAAGGTTCGGTTTATTCGGTGTGAAGGCTTTTGTTCCTGCAATGCCGTTGTTAAACTACTTGGGTTTGGTAATGGTCATAATAGGGTACGTGAATTTCAGATGTAAATCCAATTGTTTTCGTATTTACTGCTCTTACTTTTTGTTTAGAGGCTTTTTCTTTTCGCAATTACGACCAACTGTTTCCAATCCCACTGCTGAAGAAATAGTGATTGTTGAAGAAAGTAGTCGCTCTGTCAGAGGAGATACTGATGAAGATAGTCCTCTGCTTGCTACAACTGTACTAGTCGGACTAGATCGTAGAACCAAAAGACTTATGTGAGTGGTTGAGGAGTCGAAATATTAATACTCTTTTGCTGATAGGTGTTTCAGAGCTGTGATAGTTGCTCTTATGGCTGGTATTTTCTATGGTGTTACTTTTGTACCCGTGATCTATATGCAGGACCATCCTGAACAGGTTTGCTTGTCACCATTTGATTGGAGATCGCTTCCCAATTTTATGGTTTAAGTTTCCTGATGCTTCGAAAAGTGGATTAGCATACGTGTTCTCCTATTTTTGTGGAATCTTTATCACTGCTACGTTCCTACTTGTTTTGTATATCGCATACAGTGGCGTAAGTGTTGATTTACTATTGGGCAGACTTGTTTACAACGTTTTCACGCATCTTGGAGAACAGCATGCCCCCATGCTGTCGCATAGACGTTTCCGGAGAAAACGATAAAATTGCTTCGTAGATTTTTTTTATTTGAAAAAGATGCGAAATTCCCACATAATAGAGCGGAATTCTTGAATGAAGGAAGTGTTTATTCCATTCAATTCTACATAGACGATCCCTGGTATTCGACAGCTTTCTCATCATGCCTGACGCCATAGCTTAAATGCAGGTGCCGTTAAAAGGACGATACGGATTCTTCATTGCACTACAAACTCAGATCCGATTATTTCGATTCGATTGGAGCGTCTACAATATTTTTTCGAACTTGTTTTTTGTATCTAGAATATCCCAACTTCAGATATTTCTGTACAGACTTAGCAATAAAATAAGGACATGCTTTGCAGAACAACCCTGTTGTCAACAATAAGATTACTGGTCCCAGCTTGTTGGCCGGTTGTATGTGGGCTATAGCGCAGACCTCTTGGTACAATTTCGCCATATATGCGCGCTCAGGATATAAGTGTTTATTTGCAGCTCGTTCCAGGTTTTTCGCGAACGACAATCTGTCCCAATCGATAACTTTTCCTATCACAAGCATGCTACCAGGTGTATGTGCTGCCTTGTGGAGTGTGTTTTACTTCAAGTGGGTGACTGTAATTGTTTCTATTTAATCTTGTATCTTATTGAATTAATCAATTTAGGGAAATAACGGGTCATCGTAACCTGCGCATTCTGACTATTGCAGTCTGCACTACAGTAACCGGTGCAGTACTTGTAGGGCTATCAAAATGAAAGCGTGAATAAAATACTTCTCAAAAATCTTCTGAGTAGATGAATCCAATATCCGCTTATGCTGTATATTGTAAAGTCAGTGTTTTTGATAATTTTTACATTAAAGTTGAATAATAATTAAGATATTTTTGCTCAATACTTACTTTATTAACGTTCTTTCTCGTGTCGTGTCGATATTGCTTTTGATAAGTCATAGTTCCGGTTTACAAATTTATTCCCTCATTATTATCCTTTGTGTCATTTATCTCGTGAGATTAACTTCCTACGCGACATTATTGATAAGTACAAAATATGCATCGCGCTGGTAGCCTTGTATTTTGACTGATAATCTTTCTTGTTAGTTTTTTTCCTGTGATATTCCGAGTGACTGTACTATTCTTTTTAAGTGTTCCTCTGAGTTGACCTCTCCTCTAGATTCCTCTTTATCAATGGCTTGACCTTTACTTTTTTCATAAATTTTTATTCATTTATTTGTACTTATTAGAAACAACNCCAGCAAAGATGCATTTCTAACTTTTCATATACTATGCGTCAATATGTATGCGTGAAGCCATATAATTCTTTCTCTTCAATTATTGCTAACATTCCTATCAATATTTTTAGGAATGTAGAAGTGTCCGTATAAAACTACGGTAGGGAGTTTCGAAAAGTGCTGAACGGGCTATGGTGACAGTCTACGCATCGTCCATTCATTACCATTCTTTCTGAATTCGATTCGATCATGGACTCGGTCAGTCTGTCCTTGCCAAAATTCGTAGTAATCCGGTGTTAACAGGTAACCTCCCCTGGAAAGAAAGCACTAGTTATCACATCTTGTTGTTATCACGACACGTACTTGATCTTTTGAATACTCATTGGAAGAAATTGCTTCGACTACGGCGAAGTACTTGATTACGAAGAATTGGTAACTCACCAACAATCTGGTTTTGTGATACTGGCCTCGCCTTCTTTAGCCGCTAGCTCCTCCAGTGCCTTTCGTTTATTCTCCAGAAACTGGAAAAGACTTTGATAATTAATTGATAAACATCATTCAAATAAACGGGTAGCTGACTAGTCGGGCCAATTGCGGCTTGTGTCACTGCACTGATGTATAGATCTAACCATAAGTGCTCACTTATAATGCAGATGGCATGAATTTTAAGCAGTCTAACCCCTGTGAGCATTTGGAAAGGTTATGATATTAAGCTAATGATATCATAGAAATCCGTTTCCCTATAAGAACCATGAAATGTATTTGATATCAGTTCAATGAGGAGTTCCCGATGGCGGCCATGATAGAGGCCGTAACTCATCATCTCCATAACAACATTCGGCTCAATATCGTAAGCCCACTACGTTAACCCCACTTCTGTCCACTCTTTACAACTAGCTGGTTAGGATATAACAATGTAGGAAAGTTATTAATAACCGAGGTAAAAGTTTAAAGTAGTATTCAAAACAATACTCACTTCCCTGTTTGGGATGACTGTGCTCTGATCGCTGCTTTTTGAGCCAATTCGACTAGATAGCGGTCTCGAATTCCAATATTCGACAGCGACCTCATTTGGAAGTTTACTCACTTTACCTTCTATCCGTATCTAAACATTCCCAAAAGTTTGGTGAAATCACAAATCACATCAGAAAATCTCCTATTTAATCCATCTCAATATGAATGATGGAAGTATACGAGAAGTTATACTGCCACGCCAGAGTGGCGTGAGAAACATAATTCTAGTAAAACATGGATTGACGGTACTCATAAACTTAACCTCAATTCAATTATATATGTAAAGCGAGAATTTCACACTCCACCCTAATTAGCAAGGCTCGCCATGAAGTAAAGGAAATACGCTGGGGTGCAAAACTTAAAGATAAAAGCAACTTTCGATAACTGTGTCTCTACCAAATATCATAGCTCGATGAAAGTTATACTATAGCAAGAGAGGACAGTTACTCTAACAATACAGGCTCCGCAACGCGATCTCATACTTTCCACGAGGTTGGTGACAAGTTTTTGCGGTAAGGTTCCCTCTATTAGCGCATTTATAAATGCAGGTTAGTCGTTGGTGCAGTTAGAGTGCTGCAATGCATCTACCTATCACTAGACACGTGCTCTATGGGATTAGGTCGGCGGAACAGGTGGACCACTCTATTCGCCGATATTTTCTGATTCAAGAGCTGCTATATCTGTGCTGTTCGATTAGGTTAAGCATTGTCATCCATAAAAACGAGTTCGGGGTCGGTAGTCCTGAGAAGACGCTCAAGATGAAGGGGAGTACCTCGACAGAGTAGAGTAGGAAGAGTTCCACGCTAAAAATCTGGAGATCAGTACAGCAAAGCAACAGGATGCCTCCCGTACCATAACACCTCGACCACTGGAACGTCACTTTGACGATGTTTCTGGGAGGGTTGCTTGTTCCCGTATCCCGCCATATGATAGTGCGTCAAGAAACGCTGCTTATACTAAGTCTGTTCTCATCGAAATGAACACACGGCTCCATTCCTCATCGGCACAGTCGCTAAGCTCCTGGCACCACCGTAAAGAGTCTCGTTATGTGTGACGGTCAAAGCAACACAACATAGCGGTCGTCGGACAAAGGGGCCGCCTCTGTGCAGCCGTTGCGCCACTGTAGTGCATAAGATGGTTCGCCATGAAATCCTGTTAAATGTCATTGCAATCACAGAAGCTGATTGACGTGAAGCTCTTTTTGTTTTCTGCACATATCTCTTGGTGTAGTTGATCTCTCAACCGGTCCACCCCTTTCTTTCGGGCACCGGAGGTTCAGAGCGCTTTACATGCATGTCAAACAATACCGACAAACTCTGAGTGCGATACCGAGCTCTGGGCAACACTCGTCAACGATGGTCTTTTTTGAGTCTCTCGATAATTCTCTCTCATCTGAAGTCAAACACATACTGTCGGCGGGACATGTTTTATCGAAAGACATCACAGTACCTTATGACCGCTCAACGACTGATAAGAACTTGTGTTTTCATACCCATCAACTTCCTCGAATTGTCTGAGCAGCCATATTTCACGACTCATTTAAGCTCTCCTCCTATGAGGGAAGGTCCGGCTTCTGTGCATAATCGTCAAACCACTAGCAATATGCTCCTACACTTTCCTTTATTTCCACCCATTAGTTAACGTTTTATGTTTCTTTATTCGTCTCGCCACTAAGTTTTGCACAACAAAGTATTACAGTAAGGTCAGCAGAGCGGTGCTCTCATTTTAGAATAAACGATAGATCGCTTCTTTTTCCTTCCTGATAGGAACATCCTTATTCCCGTAACTCTTTACCAATCACCTGCCTATTTACGATTGGCCAGTAGAAGAGCATACAGGCGTACGGATTCTCGTTTAATTCTCGTCCTTTTCGACTGTTGTAGTTGGTGTAGAATGAGAAGCCATTAGTATCATAGCCTTTCAGTAAAACATAACGTGATGATGGCCGCATGTCCCTTAATGGATTATTAAGCTTAAAGAAAAATTATGAAAAAAACTCCACTCTTATAAAATGCTAGAAGTCATAGCCAAGACGCAAAGTAGACCAATTTGATAAAAAAAAACCGAAAATGCGACTTTCGCCCCGAATTTTTAATGAATGAATGGGACCCGAGCTTTCCATGTCTGGTTCACATGGATCTAGACATGGATCAACAAAATTTTGGACATTAAAATCTCAGGAACTAGTTATCGATGTTCCTTGAAAACTCTAGCACTGCAGAATAGAAATGGTACCCTAGGTCATCTGCTGTTTCATAGAAAACATCTTCTTCGACAGTCCACAAAAGAAAAACTCAAAAAGCTTCTTCTTGACTACTCACTTGCCTACAGTAGATAAACAGACGGCATTACGCTCTTCAAAACTCAATTTTTCCTGTGCTGCTACGTTTTTGAACCTGCAAAAAATTTCATAGTGTTTCTAACCAAAAGATCGATTCTGTTATTCTCCACAATTCATAACTGCGTTGAATCTCACCAGGTATCAAAAATCTCGAACGGATTGCGAGTTTTTAATTTCGCTTCATCAAATATTGGTTCTTCTCTGTTCAGATACTCAGCACGCCATGCTAAACCAGTACAAAAAGTAATATTTTCTGTTCATTAATTTATTTATGATCATATTACTTATTAATACGAAGCTATTTCCTGAACATAGACATTTGAGGTTGCCTATGTATGATGGCTAGGAAAAGCAAAAAATCCAATGAACAGGGAGCTCACCACGTATATCAAGCGGTTTCTCACTCATTGCAAGTCGGACCGATTTCGAAAAACGAAGGATGCGAATGACTCCAAGCTTAAATGCTGATTTTTACTCGCTGTTGAATGATCGGAGCAGAAAACAATGAGTGTCGGTAGTTGGACCTCAGACTGTTGGGACAAGGGGTATGATTTTTCATTACAACTGTCACAATGTGGAGCGGGTTCGACTGGGTTTGAATCCGTGGGTGGGTATGACTTTCCATGTAACTTGTAACCAGTTTGATAACAAGTTCTTGAATTGGAAGTGTGCACCACCTTAAGAACGGAGTGGGTCACATTATCAATTGTTATAGCTGAGAGTGTCCGACGATGCTGTCATAGTCGAGAAAGGCTTCGCTAGCAATGGCAACAGTGATCATGAAAGCAAAATGGCCAAAGCACTACTTCAAGACTTTAACGAAATCGCAGATTCTCCTTCTGGATTAGAAGTTACCTGTCCTGTGGCAAAAAGCTGACAATGCAACCGCACAAGGAATCCTATTGGGTAACAAAGTATCGCGCAACACGTCAAACAAACAGCAGCGTAAACAAGAAATTCCACTATCCTCCAAAGCATCAAATTTGCTTCGTAAATATGGAATCATGCAACCCTCCCCTCCCTTTATAAACCTTGCTAGAATTTTACTGAAGAACTGATGAAGTGGAATCTATTAAGGAATCACCTTTTCCGGACTTAGCAATGAAATAAATACACTGCACTGCATGAAGGTATGGTCACGGGAGCACACTGACGTTATGTCGTATTGATCAATTTTGTTTACTACTGCCTTCGCCACCAGAGCGAAATGAACAACAACAGTTAAGAGTAGCATGAATTTTCATTACAGAAATCATAGACCTGATGATCACCCCCAGATTAGATGACAGCTGTGAAAGATTACAGTATCCCTAATAAAAATGCGACAAAAATGAGGAACTTCAAAGCTCCATGTAAAAAACAGAGGAAATGCTGAAATCGTTGCCCAATCATTTTGATGTGCTCGTACATGGGACCCTTAAATTTCCTCATGGTGTTATGAAAGAAATTCAATGCTAAGGCATGTTGATAGTTCACTGACCACTCATGTCCCTATCCCGTCAACAATCATCCTTGGGGAAGTATAAATGTTGACTGATAGGAACATAGGTGGTCAAATTGAGCCTTGTGAAGGCATTTTCTCAACACCGCTCTTAAAGAGTGAAATATAGCCCTCCCAGACAAATACTCGCGAAAAACAGTGGACGTGGACAAAGCGACAATTTCATGTGAGGACGCGCTGGCAAATTGTAAGATGGGCCTAAACGACCCTCCACGAGATATGACCAAACATCACCCTTCCCGTCCCTTTTTCCAGCGATTGCCAATCCCAAAGAAACGTTGATAGGATAAATACAACAACCCTGCAACTTATACTTCAGTGAGAATTCCCTACCTTACAGAGTCATCAACGAATTCATTTATTCGTACAGATTCCTGGTCGAAAGCCGCATCGCGAGCTTCAACTTGACGGGCAAGAGGAGTGGGTCTGAACCTTTCTAAAGGCAATTTGGATCCTATGCGGGAACCAAAGAGCACTCCAGAACTGAGAGAGCTATATAAGAGCAGTCGGAAGGGCTGAGAGAACAGCGAAAACAACGGCTGCTAGCAAGCGCTGAGGGGAATATAGAGGAATACGAAAGCCGCACTGCTGAGGATGAGGAGAAAAACGGGATTGCCGACGAAGAAGGAAAAGGATTATATACAGAAAGTTACGAAAAGGAATGGTGAAATCCAACAGATTTACAGATGTTTGTACTAATCCAAAAGTTTTGGAACTCAACATTATGTGCATGTTACAAATTGTCTGAACTTTCCAAGAGTAGGTAACCTCCACTAGCGGGATATTTTAGCGGGATCGTTCTTCAAAGCTTGAGAAGACTCGCACCGATGTCGGGTGGTGAAATGGTTCCCTTAAATTTTCGAAGGGGACCCTAATGAATTGTAAGCTGAAAAATTCTCCCGACCTATGTGGAGAGTTCAAGCAACTTTCACAGCACCGATGATATGCCGAGTTTCATAAAAAAAAAAAACGTTATCGGGGAAGAAGTGCGTATGGGTTCGATAAGAATGCGTCTTACGAATTGTTCGAGAACTCAAGAAGGATTCGGCTACCGTGGGATGGCTCAAGGAAAAAGTAACGTAACCAGTAACCTTGCCGAGTCAGAGGAATGTGCCTTCCCCGCCAGCATCAAAACAGCACAATCCATAAAAGCTCTCGTTTGCCACGCTATTTCTCATACTCAACGGAGGCGCTATTGTTTTACTGCAGGATTGCAAACAAAATATTTCTGAAAGCCTAGAAGTACCAATTTCGTATTTGCTTCCTTCTTTCACTGAGAAAAAGCCAAAATTTTAGTTTTCAGAGAAAGTGGAATTGTGCCGTTCCTTCACTTATGAACAAGGTGCGTATGAAATAAATTGGCCCCCAAAATTGAGAAGATTTCAAGTTTATTGATAACTGGCAGAAACCATACACAATGATTTCATACCATAACAGTAGAGTCGTCCGATAAAAATAGTTTATCATTACCGGGGGCTCAATAAACAACCGGCGTACAAGACAAGACGCCACATTGTGTCAGGTGGACTATGACCATGTGGAAATCGTCTGCTTCTCCAGTACCTGAGTCGTTATTTTTGCGCACGACCACAGATTAAATCGCAGAGTCTCAGGCGAACTGGTAGGTTCTCGGTTCGGTGCGCTGTGCACAAATTTGTACGGGAATCAAACTCCGTATAGATGGGCCCTGGCCAACCAAGCCTTCCCTCCCTCCGCGGTCATTCCATTGGAGCCAGGCTCGCCTGGAAACATGAAAGCAATGGCTTGTACATTGGCTGGCCACCGAAGAAACTGTATAGGCCAAATATGAATTCAATACGCCAGCACTCTTATGAATAGTAGACAAATGCGTCGGCGTATCCCAAAACGGAATTGATTAACGCCAAAGACTTTATCATTTATCACTTAAAAACAGAGACGGCTTGCTCTGTCTTTCTTGCCAGCAGTCCGAGCCAGCGGAAACCTTGACCTGATATCAATTTTATACCGTAAAATGTAGAGCACAAACTACCAAAGCGATCCTTCAATCGGTTAGATGTCTATACACTAGTGAAATAGTTCATTATACTGGAGATTAGGATTTTTGCTATCTATTTTGTGCAAACAAACCGAACGTGTTATGACTACTCAAGGTAGTTGACTTCCCATGGTTTTTCCTATTCCCGGTGAATGGTAACAAAACGGAAATCACTAGGTTTACATTGCCCATATTTGCTGTGTATAAATCCCATAACCGAAACTCTGACCTAATGTCACAGAATCCGTGAATGAATTCTTTTTTCTTAAACTTTAAAAAATAGCAAAAAAGTATTGTTCATAGAAGCAGCTGAATCGATGATTTGACGATGATCAGAAACATGTTTTACTACATAATGTAAAATGCGAGTCAGAGGTTTTTAGTTATAAAAAGGCGTTGCCCTAAAAACTGAACAAGACCATGTCTGGCTCACCAAGACGCCACCCCTTCCATCTTATTCAGTCCACCCGCACCAGACCTCCTTAACAAATAATCCAACTATTGTCTAATGAGTACTCAGAGAATAGAGGAGCGATTAGAAAAGGTTTCAGATTAGATGGGATGTTCAGAAAGTGAATTGGCATGCATATATAAATAACAATAAATAAATGAAATCAATGTTGAGATCAAAAGAGGTGTGAGCTTTCTCTCGTGTTTAGTGAGTGGAAAAGTCGTTTTGTTCGAATGTAGTAGGAGAATTCCACAGTTGTTAAATCGATATTTTCCTCTAACTACCGCAGCCATTTGTGTCCGAGGGTTCTTTGGTGGGGAAAAAAGATGAACAAAGATAAGAGCATCACGTAGTCAATGACGTCACATTGAACTCGAAACTGATACAAGTTCAGAGAGAGTACCAAATGATGAAGCATCTGGAACGACTTCTGATGCCAGAGTTCGCATTTGAGAAGAATTAGAAAGGTGAGATGCTACTGAGGGTCACATTCTTATTCCACTTCGACTATTCCATGTTTTTGTAAAATCCTATGCATTTCACTATAGACTACGTAGTAAATCCGATTATATTGAAAAATAGCTTTGACGCATACGCTCAGCTCACTACTTTGGTGAGAGAAAACACGGATGAAAAACCAAAAAGTTCTTGTCGAAAAAGCATATCAGACTACTGATAAACGACAGATGAATGATCGAAGTACGCAAGAAAAAACCAGCCATAAGAAAAACCATAAGAATGCCAGCAATCCTCGATGCCACGTGAATGACGTCTTAGTAGAAGGAAAGGAAGTGACAGGCAGAGTCGGACGGACGCGTGCCATGGAATTGTTGAGGAAAATCCTTTTTAATACCCGTGCGCTGCTTGAGCGCAAGAAAAACAACACAGTCGCAGCTAAGTTACCCCCACTTAGCCTTGATGGAGGGTAAAGAACTACTTCCATCGATTACTTAGTAGTTTAACGAGGCAGACTAGGATTAAGCTACGGTCTTTGAAGAGGACAAGCGTCAAAGTGCTTTCTGGCATCTGTCTTATTCCGAGCCGAGAAGCGAAGTGTTAGAAAGTAAGGAAGTAGGCAGAAAGCAACATCATAAATGAATGGAGGGCTCCAGCAAATTAAGAACTTTACTGGGAAGCTTCTTTTGCCAGGGATCACGATCTATGGTCGAATCATAACTCCTGTTATCCTAAGCACCTCTCAAACCTGTTCCCTGGAAATTGCATGCCAAAAATGGCAAAAAATACTCAGCATGGGGGCTCCTCCTGGGGAATCCCTATAAAGCTCCAAATACGCCTACAGCTGTGCAACGCCATCTATTGATCAGTGCTTACTAAAAACAAAGTTAAACTTTCCGGAAGGTTAACCAACCTTCTAACAGATGTGTCGCGCACCCGTGTTCAGTCAAGAATTGTGGTAGCATTTTAGAGCGATGGGGTAG